GCCATTTCTCTTGGGGAGAGTGAGGGCTGGGAAGGTATTCTGGAGTGAAGGGTATTTGAGGTCTGCTTTAGAGAGCTGGACAGATGGACACGAGGGGGAAGAGGCATCCAAAGTGGAAGCAGCACAGGCACAGCTGAGGACTGTTTAGGTAGCTCAAAGCCTACCACATGTGTCAGTCAGAACTCTTCAAGGGATAAAAATGAACTGGAACTCGCCATTCCCGTCTTGTTCATTATTGGAATTAACCAGACAAATCACTCCACCAACTCTAAGGGCATCACAGACAGATCATTGCTCAGTCTTGGGTGGCTGAACACCATGTATACAGCTAAGAACTAGTTTACACCAAAAGACTAAAACTAAACAAAGGCCAGAAGCTATGGTTTCAGATGGTGCTGCACAGGCTTTTCAAACTTGTTGCAAATGGTTACAAGCCCCTCCAAGTTTACACCTCATCAATAGAGTTCATCCCTAAAATGCATCACAAAATTCCCAGGATTAACCTACGCTGGAGTCACATGATCTCTGAGCCTGAAGAGATTGTATTGATAGGCCAAGACTGGCACATGTTCCCAGTCCTGGCACTAGCAGCAAGGTGGGGAGAGATTACTTCCTCCCTAACTAATGCCATCAAGAGTCAGAGGGGCTTTCCCCAGGGAAAAGTTGAGTGCCACTACCTGAGAAAGAATGGAGGCTGGGGAGGCATTATTTACTACAGAGTGACTGCAGCAGAGAGGTCTCTGAAGGAGTGTGTGGGGTAGTGCCCAGTTTGGGGTTCTGATGTTACACTGAGGGCCGCCAGCAGCTTTAGTGAGAGGCTGACATGTAGAAGGTTTCTCTGAGAGGCAGCAGAAGGTGGAATGCAGAGAACAGCCTGTAGGCGGGAAGCCTGTGAGTTGACTAGCTAATTGTTTCTGTAAGATCTAATTAGCAAGAACAGAGATGGGAGGACAGGTCCAGAGATCTTGCTGAGGTAAATGCTAGGACTTGACCAGTCGGCTGGACATGGAGTGAAGAAGATGAGGAGTGTACCTGGGATCTTACCCTGAGTTCACCTCTTTCTGCAGACTCAGCAGGGCACATCATTGATCTTGTGAATGACCAGCTGCCAGATATTAGCATCTCAGAGGAGGACAAGAAGAAAAACCTGGCCCTGCTGGAAGAAGCCAAGACAGTGAGTGAACGATTCCTGACCCGCCGCGGGAGAAGGTCCAGGAGCAGCCCCGGAGAGTCCCCATCAGGTAGGGCAGGGCCAGGATGGCTGCCCTGAGCCACCCCAAGGCAGGGGTCAGGGCAGGGAGGGGAGCGTCTGGGCCTGGCTGGAGGAGAGCCTGGTTTTCAAGATGACTTTGACAAACTTGCCTTCCTGAGAGGATCTTGAGAAGATAAGACATCTTGCTGCAAGTCAGAAATGCCTCCACAGCTTTACCTAGCAAAGCTTTCCTATGTTATCTGAAGGGGAATGGCCTCTGGTGGCACAGTCCCTAGGGAGTTACACCGCTAACCCAAAGGCAGAAAGCACTTTTGGTGGTTTGGATCCACCAGCAGCACTAAGGGAGATAGTCTCCTCCTGGGTGATTTATAGACTCTGAAAACCCACTGGAGGATCAGCTATGGGTTGGTTCAGATTTTGCAAAGAAGTGTTAACCTATTTTATATAAATGAGCTTGAATGTCCCACCCCATCCCACACCACTATTAGTGTCCACTTCATTTAAGCTTTCTGTGTGATGACACAGACTCTGGGCCACCTTGCATAGATGGGTGACAGCCCTCCCTTCCCCAGGAAACCCTGGTCTGGAGACTGGCCACCTCCTCAGCCAACAAAGGGCTGGAGAGCCCGTCCCTGGGCTGCTTCTCCCGGATTTCAGCTGTGGGTCCTGGAAATGAGCCTGGATAATTTGAGGGGAGCCTGAAGGAGAGAAGAGGGGCCTTTCCGGCATTTCTGAGTTAGGGAGATTTTTCTGGATCCCAACATCCTCCTGCTACCATTGTGGCTAGAGTGACCCTTTTTTCTGAGCAATAAATTGAAACAGGGTTTAGACAAGTCTACCTAGGAGAAGGGCCCTGGTGGTGCAATGCTTAAGTGCCCAGCTACTAACTAAGAGGTTGCCTGTTCAACCCATCAGCTGCTCAGCAGGAGAAAGCATTTGCCTCATGAAGACACAGCTTTGGAAACTTTCTGGCCAGTGCTACTCTGTCCTGTGTGGACACTATAAGTCCAAATTGACTCCATGGAAGTGGTTTTGGTTTTAGTACCTACGGAGGGCAATGGGGAGCATTTGAAGTCAAGCCATTATGGGAAATCCAGCAGGAGGCATAGTCTCTGAAGCTGTGCCTCTCAAATAGTGTCAGGCCCTTTGTTTCCAGAAGGTCAGGCCAAGCAGGCTGAGGGGTGCTAGATCTCCTCACCCTTCTGAACGACCTGCATGTCCTGTGTGGGACACACCACAAGGTGGGCGGGACTGTGGTAGTCAGTCCTTGTCAGGGATCAGCTCCGGGACTCCACTAGGCAGATCTAGTACACAGGGGTCAGAAATAACTGAAAGGAAGTTTTGTTAGATTGAAGTCCTAAACTATCATGAATACTGGCCAATTTGAGTCTCTCTCCACAGCTTCTTCCCCAAACCTCAGTCCCGGATCTTCTCCTGCATCTTCTCGGAGCAACTCACTCACCGTCCCCATCCCTCCAGGTGAGGTCCTGCTACACCAGGCATTTCCTGTCCTGACTTCTCCCTTTGGATGGTTGCTCAGCCCTTCCCCTGGACTATCCAAGCTGCCTTTCCACCCACATCTTTCTATCCTACAGGCTTCCCATTCAGAGAAGGAAGACATACTTCTTCTGAAAGTTTAATAAAGAGTTAGTGTTCTTCTTGGTTGAGGAAGACTCTCAATGAGATGGATTGACACAATGACCTTAACAATGGGTTCAGGAATGACAGAGACAATGAGGACAGCCCAGGATAGGGGAGGGTTCAGGTCTGTTGTTCATAGGGTCACCGTGAGCTGTAGTAGCATCTAACAACAACAAGGCAGTGTTGAGAGGCAGGCCTAGTCCAGGATGACTAGATGGGGTGAGGATGGGGGCAAAGGGATGGAAAGGGGCATTATAATCAGTACAGAGCTTATTTGAAAGGCTTCTGGGCTATTCTTTGCCTTTGGTTTCTCATCTTGCACTAGGCTTTATAGAGAGCTACACCCTCTGAGTAGCAGGACTGAGTTCCAGGAAAGCAGCCTGCTCTTGACAATGTTGTGAGAAAAGCTCAGGCTCAGATCAAGCATCTGGGGTTCAAATCCCAATGCAATACTTTCTGGCTGTGTAAGCGTCTTTTAATTTCCCCATACGATTTCTGTGATAAATAAAAGCCCACCACTGAAGCTGCCACAGGGGAAGGAGGTAATCAACATGTGGTGGCACACTGCTCCCAGGCTTCACTTTCTAAAATGATGTATAGGAAGCGAGCCTGAAGGCCTAGGGCAACACTCACTGGTCTCTGGACCATTTCAGGTTTGGAAGCATGTAGTGACCTACAGGCGTCCCAGCTCGGAGCACCACTACAGGTAAGAGGGGCCTCACTGAGGGTTTCTTTGCTAATGGACCTCTGTCCTCACTCCCTAACACCTGGGGAGCCTCTTCCTGGTCTACCTGAGATGAGGTACTGAGGTAGGGAGGAATATACATCACAGCATGGCCTTCTGGGGGAAACTTCAAAAGGAAATACAGTCTTCCTAATGCTGACTGATTTGTGTTTCATTTCAACAGCAGAAGGGGGATGAGGCCGATGTCTCTTCACCTTACCTTGGCGAGTCTGTGAGTTTGAATTTGCCCTACTAGGGTGAATTGGGTATGGGAGTCACAATGCACATAAGTCTGGCTGGTCCCTGGGCATTTACAAGTATATGTATAAGTGAAGATCAAGACTGAGGGAAGCTGGGGAAACTGGCAGATTCTTCTGCCTTTTGTGACCAGAGTCTGAGGTGCAGGGGCTGGGGAGTCAGGAGTCAGTGGCCTCCATGGAGGTTCTTATCCTCACTCTGCCCTCCAGTGAGGCTGCTGGTGAGTGAGGAGATATCAGCAGCCAGGCTAGACCACCACTCTTGTCAGCACAGTGAGAATGACAGGATAGCTCAAGACTCTGGTTGGTGTTCTTACTGGGGTGCAGCCAGGAAAACCTTGTCTTTGCAGATGAGCAGTGCAGAGGCTTCGCAGCTGGTCAGTAAGGTGCTGGGGTGGTGTCAAGGGCAGTGTTAGAACACAGCCTCCCCCTAGAGCTGGCTAAGGAGAAAGTGCTTTGGAAACATTGCAGTGACACACAAACACAACACTCAAATATCCGGACACAGATCTGCACACTGCCCACAAAGCAAGTGTCCCTTAGGTAGTGAAAGTAGGGGGCAGAATTGTACATCTGAGCAGTTATCACCTTTACAAAAATCACCCCATCCATCCATTCTTAACCTCCTTCAGATTATTGAATGCTTTGAGAATTTTTTGAAAGCTGTGGATTCTTTTCCCAGAAACACACACACATTTGCATACAATTTTAGAGGGATCACAAATTTGGTGGGAAATCTGAGCCTGAGAGAATTAAGGGCCTTTCCAGGCAGAGCTACAACTAAAATCTGGAGCAGCTGAGTTGGAGCCAAACTTGTGACTGCCCTAAGCTGCCCTCCACTCCAGCCTCCTCCTCAGCTCCCAGCCCACCGGAAGCTTGTGGCTTGGTTTGGATTGCAGGTCTCATTGTCTTCTCTGTTTTACAAGCCTCAGGCTTGTTTGCTAATTCAGACCAGACTTAGAAACCTTTCCCTAACCCATTGTTCCCTCCTAACATCTTAATGGGCTCGTTAGTGAAATTTGTGGCGACAGAGATCCCAAAACAGAAGTGACCTATCCTTCCTTCTTCGGCACCCTGCCTCCAGACTCTTAGGTTTATCTTGTCTCCTCTTTCAGAATGTTCCCAAAGGGCTAGCTGACCGGAAACAGAATGACCAGAGAAAAGTATCTCAGGGAAGGCTGTCTCCTCGCTCCCCCATGATTGAGAAGTCCAAAGAAACTGCAATAGAACAAAAAGAGAACTTCGATCCACTCCAGCACCCTGAGGCCACCCCCAAGGGCCCATCTCCCAGCACAGGCAGTGGTGGGAAAATGGCCCTCAATAGCCCCCTGCCGGGCCCTGTGGAGAGTGAGCCAGGGAAGCAGCTCCTGAAGACAGCCAGGGAGAGTGACCCTCAGCCAAGAAGCCCAGCGCAGAGCTCGGGAGGAACGGGCCCCATCCTCCTCCAGGGGAAGGGCTTGTCTGGGGAGCCAACAGGTCCCAAGACTGGCTCCAAAGCTGAGCTGTGGCCCCCAGCCTCCCGACCCCCTCTTCTGCGAGGTGTCTCCTGGGAGAGTGGCCCTGAAGAAACCGGCCCCCGACTACAGAAAGTGCTTGCCAAGCTGCCACTGGCAGAGGAAGAGAAGCGTTTTTCAGGCAAAGCCAGCAGCAAGCAGGCCAAAGTGCCTGGACTCAAAGACTTCCAGATACAAGTGCAGCCTGTGAGGATGCAGAAGCTGACCAAGCTCAGGGAGGTGGGTTCCTGAGGCGCCAGGTGTGTGTGTTATAGGGCCCTCTAACCTGAGAAACCTTGGGCTGAAACTGGGGCCTCGGGCAGGGCAGTTCTGGCTTGGACTTGGGTCTTTCAGGTCTGTAAACTTCTCTCCTCTGAGAAACCAGGCCTGCTTATGTAGCTGCCTTCCTAAGTGCCACAGTTAGGGGCTTTCTCCCCCAGTTACGAGGAGAGGCCAGTATGGGTGATAGTAGTGACATCGGGCCCCCTTTCAAGGCCAAATGGGTTTGTGGAAGACACACAGGCCCCTCAGTCTGAACTGTTTCCCCTCTTCCAAGCAGAGCTGATAGTTCATAAACAGGAACTGCTTGATGGAATGCCTTGTCATTCCCAGGACTAGGCAAGGATGAAATAGCTTCTCCTTTGTAATGCCCATGTTTGTGAACAAAGAATCTCAAGTCCACTCCAAGTATAGTAATGGCCACCAGGAGCTGTTCCTCCTGTGACAATTTTCTTCTGACTCCTATGGTGTTCTCCACTTTCACTGGCCACTAGATAAGACACAGTACTCATTCATTGTGTTATCACTCTGTGCGGGGGTGGGGGAGGTGGGGGGTGGTGGGGGTGGTGGGAGGTTGGTACTGTCCAGAGATGTATACACAAAGAATCCTGAAGCACAAGGGAGGAAAGGGTTGACAGGACAAAACAATCCACACTCTTCTCTTTCCCAGAAAACTAACTCAGGCCACAGGGCAAGGCAACTGGAGCTCCATAGTGTATGGCCCAGAGGTCCCACAGTAGGAGCCGAACAAGGGTTCCTCGGCTACCCTGCAGAGTCCATGAGGCATGGAAGGAAAAGAGGCCTTTGATAGCAGCCAAGCACCAGAGACAGGCTTCCATGTCCACAGGGACACACTCCAGCTCTGGCCATTGCTCTATTCAGAAACCTCCCATTATGCTCGAAGTTGGAGGCTCAAGAGGAGCTGAGGCCTGGCCACTGATTTTTTATATAGGAAACAACACCAAGCCAGGAGGTTCTCAATAACTAATGGTTCAGCACAGGACCTGGTGGGGCTGTCCATTGTGGGACATAGTCCTAGATCTTGGGTGAAAGTGGTGCCAGGGGGCCCAATTGCCAAGAACTTGTCTCATGGGCCCTTGGACATACAAGAGCAGGCCTAGGCAACAGACATCCTGGAAAAGGTTATTCAGCAAGAAGGCTACAGCTGCCAGTAGGCACTGCCCTGCCCGTTGAGCAGCCCTTCCCACCAGTTGATACTAATCCAGTACCTGTGAGCAGATTGCCTCTGGAACACTAGCTTTCTATGAAAATAGGTAAATGGCTGTGGTTATGACTTCATCCTCTGCTGGCCTCTTTCCCTTTTTACCTGGGTGCAATACCACTCAAGTCACCTCTGTTACACAGGAGACCGAAATCCATTTCCAGCACAAGCCATAAGGAGTGTGAGGCTAGGCCCTTCCCCTTGAGGACACTGGCCTAGTGTTAATTGGCTTAGAGCAGGTGTGAGCCTACCTGTACCACATACCTACAGTCAGCACCTCCATGTCTCCCCACTGTGACTGCTGAGGCATCAGGCAAGGTAGGGAGGGACATCAGGACTTGCTGCCTTGATGTGTCAATTCCGAAGCCTCATTTGTCTGGAGAATTTAGAAACTTAAGTGGTACCATAAAAGGTCATTAAGAAACTGAGTGAGTAGAAATGCCACTGCTCCTGCGGGTGGGTTCTCGCTGCCCAGAGAAACAAGACAGGAAACTCCAGCCAGCCCAGGGCACAGCCACGAGACAGGCACAGTGTACATACCCAGGGGAACTTCTTGTGCTCAGAGCCTTTAGTTCTGCTTCTGTTTGTCTTTCAGGTTCTCGATAAGGCTCAATTACAGTGTTACTGAGCAGTTTATTTGACCAAAGACACTAAACTAATTTAAAAAGCAGATCACGTTGAGGATGCTTCTTACCCCTCAGAATGGTGGCACTATGGGTGGAGTTGCAGGGGCTAGACATCCACAGGCGATCTGTCTGCCTGGTGCCCCTCAGATCCTACCATGTCGTGACTGTCCACCCCACCTTTGACGTTTATGCGGACTGTCTTCCACACAGAGCTGTCAGCCTGATGCCATCTTCTGAATGTTGTCTTTTCCCTTTCCCACAAGGAGCACATCCTGATGAGAAATCAGAACTTAGTGGGGCTCAAGCTTCCAGACCTTAGTGAAGCAGCTGAGCAAGAAAAAGGTAGGTGGGGTGGGTGGCTCCCCTCAGGCCAGGGCTCCTGGGGGACAGATCAAGGAAGGGAAACACACCAGCACTGGCTTCCTGACAGCGGGCTTTGTCCACACCAGTTGTTAGTATAGTTGGACACAGAAGAGGCACTCAGCAGAGATTTGCTGATGAATCAGTGGTCTGGGAGGGTCTGGTCAGGCCTGAACTTTTGACACTTCCTTTTCCTTCTCCTTTCACACCCAGGAAACTTCCCAAATATATCAGTTCCTCTTTTTAAAGCCATCACAGTCATCTCTTGTTCTCTAATCTGCTGTCACTACAAAGTCCAAACCCTAGCCCTTCCCTCCCAGGTTCCCTCTCCTTCCAAATGTCCAGTCTCTCTACCCCTCTACCCGCATCCACTTTGTCACTCATCTTCTGAAAAGAAAACTTTCAACTTCTCTTCCTTTCTCCCCATGCCACCCTCATCTCCTTCCTTACCTCTCTTGATGCCCTGGGTAGAGTGGCCCTTCTTGGGCAACCACTGAGCTGGCCCAGCTTCTCAATGCCTCCAGCACTATTCTTCAGCATTATGTGTGGTGGCCATCACTGGGAGCCAGAACTGTGAAGCCTGCTGTCCAGTTTCAGTCCCTGTTCTGCCACTGAGCCACCAGGTGACCTGGGCAAGCTCCTTAACCTCCCTGTAATCCCTCCTCCCTCCCCCAACACATTGAAAATGGGTTAATATTAGTATCCACCTTCTCAGCTTGTCATGAGGATTAAACGGGTTAATATTTGTAAAGACCCTAGAATGTTACTGTCCTTACAAACTGTCAAGTCAACTACAACTCATATCAACACTCAGGACAATAGATGTGACTACCTGGGGAGGGAAGTCAACTGGGAGGGAAGAGCTGGGATTTGAACTTAGTAGTAACAACAGATTAGAAAATAAGGGGTTACCTGTTCCATCCTCACGATTTCTGCCATGTGAGCCCACTGGTATGGTCATTCTGTCAATCCTCTCGTGGAGGGTTTTCTCTCTTTTTCTGACTCTCTACCTTTCCCAGCATGATGTCTTTTTGGCCTCAGAAAACCTCATTGCTATTGTGTTGATTCTGACTTGTCGTGATCCTCCATCAAATTTCTGAAGCTGTAAATTGTAACACAAGGAGATTGCCCATCTTTCTCCCTGAGAGCTGCTAATGGATTTAACTGCCAAACATATGAGGCCTAGGTGGCTTAGTGGTAAGGAATTGTGCTGCCTAACCAAAGGTACATGGTTCAAATCCACTAACTGTTGTGTGAGAGAAAGATGGACAGTCTCCTTCGGTGCAATTCACTGCCTCTGAAAACTGCTGGAGGGTCAGCTAGGGGTTGGTTCCCACTCAATAGTATATAACAAAACAAAAAGAACAAGTGGTGCAATGCTTAAAGTGCTTTGCTGCTAGCCAAAGGATTGGTGGTTCCTTTTAAACAGTTCTTTCCTTCATCAGTTCCAATGCAATGTTCATTAGTTATCCCCAGAATTTAAGTTTAGGCATTCTTTATATGACAATAGTCTAGAATAAGACATGTATAACAAAGTGGACTGGGTCGGGGGCAGAGGGGATGCAACAGTGAATGATTTATTTTTTTTTAAAGTGAAACTGGGGGTAGGGAGGAAAATGTGCAACAATGAATGAATGAAAATCTAGCTTTTCTGTAAACTTTCATTAAAATCACAATTTTATAAAAGAAAAGACAAGGGGGGAAAAAAGATTGATGGTTCAAACTTGCCAGGTGCTCCTTGAAAGAAAAGACCTGCATCTACTCCTGTAAAGATTATAAACCTAGAAACCTTTGGAGGCAGCTCTACTCTGTCCTCTGCTGAGTCAGAATCAGCGCACTTCCCAAGTGTAGCTGTTTTCTTTGGAAATCAGGATTCTCTCTCTGTACGTGCGTGTGTGTGTGTGTGTTCTCTTGCATGCGGTGTTTCTTCATCCCAAGTTGCTTATGATAATAGTATCTGACACCATTGTTGTTATGTGCTATAGAGTCAACTATGACTCAGAGCGACCATATGAACACTGGCTCTGAACCTTTCCCTATCCTGACCAACCTCACCGTCTCTCACACCTGACCCCATTGTTAATAGAGGTTTTGATGGCCTGTGATTTCAGAAGTGGAAGGCTAGTCCATCCTAGTCTGCCTTAATTTTGGAGCTCCACATTACTACAGTATACTAGACCTTGAATAAAAATCTGTTGAGTAAAAAAAAAAAATTATGAAAGAGGTATAGGGTAGGGGTTAGGGTGTTAGAAACCAGGGGTAACCTATAACTGTAACCCTAAGTGCCATGGAATGAGTTCCGAACTCCAGTGGCCAGGCTCCTTCCTATCCTTCTCTCTCCTCCAGACCTCCTTCTCGTGTCTGCTTCACCCCTGCCTCTCTGCCTTTGTTCAAGTCATGTCTCCCTTCTGACATGCAGTCTCCCTCCTCTCAACACTAGCATGGCAGTGCCTCAAGCATTGGGTATGTCCCATCAGCTGTCCTCTATTCTTACTCTGTTGTCTCTTTTTGCCTAGATCCTTCTTTTAATCTCATTATAAAAAAATTCTCTATAGCATATTTTGAAAGCAGGAGTGGCATCCACTTGCTAAATAACACGCCTCTGGAAACGGTAGGAATTTTGGTAAATGTCAGTAGTTATGGAGGGGCTTCAAGCCTTTTGTTCAAAGGGTCATTGTGAGTCTTGCTGGACTTGAAGGCAGTCAACAACATAGCATTTCATCTGATATAAGTAATTTTGTATGCTCTCCTGAAACTTATATTCAATCCTCTTGATAACTGAGGGAGTTAAGTATTCTCGTTCTCATCTCATAGTTGAGAAAACTGAGCCTGAAATATTTCCTGGCTCCAAACCTCATGGCTTAGGGAGTTGTTGTTGGGTTTTTTCTATCATATGCCTTTTTTCATGGTTGTTTCAAAAATCCTTTTTAGCTGCATAATGTCCCATACAAACTAATCTACAGAATACCAGCACGTGGGGAGGGGAAAGTGGCACAGAAGTGGTTGATGGGAGTAGGAGAGCTTGGTCCTACCAATTCTAGGCCTCAGTTTCTTTTCACTTGCAAAATTGAGGCCCTTAGTAGCCCCCGGTTTATAGAACACCATTGTCCCACTTCATGCTGCCCATAGTCAATGCCCAGTGTAAAAGCTTTCTGGTTATGGATTCCTGCGTGTTTTGTCCAGGCTGTCACCAAATGCCACTGGAAGCCCTGACTGGAAATGTGGTAAAGATAAGTGGTTTCAGATCCACCAGCTGTTCTGTGGGCGAAAGACGGGCAATCCCTTCTTCTTCTTTTTTTTTTTAAATTTTTATTAATTTTAATGAAAGTTTACAGAGACTTAGGGTTTCCAGTCATTCATTTTTCCACTTTTCACCCCTCCCCCCCAATTCACTTTTCTCCTTGATAAGTAAAAGAAAGACTCTTTCATTGCTATGCAATCCCTCCCCCACCAAGTCCACTGCACTGTGCAGCCTTCATTCTGGACTCCTGACATGACAATAGTACCCAATCATGTATCCCTTTTAAACTGTTCTCTCCCTCATCTGTTGCAATGCAGTATACATCATTCCTCCTCTTCTTCTCTGTCTTCCCTCAACCCCAATGTCAATCCTTTTTTACAGTAGTGGCCCTATGCAATATTTGTCCTTTTGTGACTGAGATATTTCACTCAGCATAATGTCCTCCAGGGTCATCCACTTAGCATAATATTTCATGAGTTCCTTGTTTTTCAGTGCTGCATAGTATTTCATTGTGTGAATATTCTAGAGCTTCTCTATCCATTCATTTGGACACTTGGGTTGTTTCCAGCTCTTTGCTATGGGCATCCCTTTCTTGTGCTATTTACTGCCTCTGAAAACCTGCTGGAAGGTCAGCTGGTTCAGACTCGACTGTACAACAACCACCACCTGCCATTATGAAGCTCCATTGGCATAGCCCATAGTGAGTTGCTTTACTAACCCAGAAAGTACATCTCTCTAGCAGTTTGAATCCACTAGCAGCCCCTTGGGAGAATGATGGGCAATCTCCCATGTAATTTACAGCCTCCAAAAAACTGCTGGAGGGTCCTCTGTAAGTCCATTCTGACTTGATGACAATAAGTTGAGTTTTGTTTATCTGACATTAACAAATAGATCCCCAGATCTAACATTTTGACAAAATTTCTAAAAGAAGCTTAAGATTTTATTTTTTTTTTTACAGCACCCAATTGCAGAGAAAAAGAATCTCTCCTTAGAGGAAATATTTTAAAAATATATTCTTCTCTGCTTTTTGTGATTTGTTAAAACATTAGGAAAAGTTAATGTTAAAATTTCACCCACAGCCTCACTACCATTGAATTGACTGACTCATAGAAATCCTACAGGACAGAGTATAACTGTCCTGCAGGGTTTCTAAGGCTGTAAATCTTTGTGGCAGCAGAGAGACTGGCATATCTTTCTCCTGTGAAGCAGCACGTTCAAACCTCAGACTTCCTGTTTAGCAACTCAGTCCTGTAGCTGCTGGCCGTTCTTCCGTGAATGCTGAATGAAAATGCAACAACTTTCATTCTTACCAATTTTTGCCCATATTTAGAATTTTCATAATTAATTTAATAGCATAATTATTGCTTTCCATTTCTACTTTTTAACATTCTTTAATAACTACTTCCATTTATTTTTACTTGTACCCATATACTTATAATTTACTGGGTACATGGTCATTTGTTTTGATATATCTGAATATTTCAGACATTTGTAGTTCTTTTAATGATGATTAACAGCGTATTAGAAACAACTTTGTATTTGTAGTTTTATTTAGTCTTTCTTTTGCTTGGAATAAATTCTCAGACTTGAGATTCACAGGGTCAAAGTGTAGAAACGATGTGGATTTGCCAGATCCTTTACCAATTTATGATGCTGCTTACAAGGATTGACTGTGTGCCCTTCTCCTAAGTATTACCAGTTCTGAATTTTACTTCTTATTAACCAGATATACTAAGGACCA